AAAATAAAATTTGGATAACAAAATAAACTAAGGAAATACAAAATAAATATCTCATATGGGTAATTTTATGAACGAAAATTAAAATCTAATTTGTATCCTAACGTTAAAAGAGAAAGAAAATTTAATTACACGTGATACAAAAAATAATTATAAGAAAATTTAATAGATTTAAAATATAATAAAAAAAACTTATCTATTAATATTTTAAACTAATTCAAAGTTATAACTTAAATAAAACGTGATATTATATATTTTGTTTATTGGTAAAATATTAATGTAAAAAACTAATCAAAAATTCATAGTAGGGAAGAGGATGTATAAAGAGCAAAATAGAAATAGTGTGAGAATATTTATACTTTGAATTAATTAATTATAAGGAAATTAAATAATTAAATAATACTCAAAAATATTATTGAAAGATTTAAATGAAGAAAGAGTTCCAAGTAATTAAGAGGATAAAAGTAAAAAAATGAATTAGCTTTTAGGAATAAAAAAATTATATTTATATATGTTTATCAGAAGGGCAATAAGCAAGATATCAAGTCAATTGGTAAGCTAATAAAAGATTACATGAATATAACATTATTAAGTAATAGATAATGCAATAACTAGAAGCAAAGATTAAAGAAAAAGTTGTTTTGGGTGAAAATGTAGAAGGATAAGACTTATTCGAATTTGCGGCGAAACATAAAGTGGTAGTAAGAATTTTGTTAAATAATATGATCAAACAAGACATATCACAAACGTGATATGTTTAGTATTATTTAATATTGACCACAAAATAAAATACAAGTACTAAATCAAGGAGTTGGATTGTTACAAATATAAACTAAAAATATAAATAAAAAGAAACATGTTATCTGAAAGTTTTAAATTTTAAGGTAATTCCAATAACTCAAATTATAATTTGATATTTGTGTCCGCGCATCGCGCGGGTATTAATACTAGTTATATTAAAAGGAGAGTAGTGAAGCATGTGGTTAAGCCAAGTGGCAAGCTTAAAAGAAGTCACTTGACAATTTTAAGACAACATTAATAATTAGAAATTATAAATACAAACATAATTAATGGAAGTAGTTTAATAAATCTTATCCGTAATCTTAATAGATATTAGACAAATCTAATCTATATATCCATATTTATATTTATATCCATATCTATATATTTATAATTAATGAAAATCCACTTCTAATTGATCAAGCTTCGTATCTGACCTTATTTGGGTACAATATACATTACTGTAGGTATGTTTAATCAAATTTTTGTATATAATTCAGTTATGGTCGGTATCCTTTTTTGAGAAAAAATCAATTAAATTTTGTTTTGTATCTTACACATTAATTTTAAGTTGAAATAATAATTCTTTATTTAGTACAAGCTTTGTATCGGACATTATTTGTGTAAAATATATATTACTATAAGTATCTTTAATTAAATTTTGTGTATAATTCAATTATGGTAGGTATAGTTTTTTGAGAAAAAATCAATTAAATTTTAATTTTGTATCTTACACATTGATTTTAAGTTGAAATAATAATTCTTTAATTTGTTGGATTCTATTTGGATAACATTAATAAAAGTGATTAATTGATATTCTTTTGTATCTAACTAATAATTGAATTTTTTGAATTGCATAAAGTGTCACCGAATTGTATAACTAAATAGTACTAAATATCTTTTCCTTTTGAAGGAACATTCTCTAGAATTTTGTATCTAATTATTAATTGATTTTTTTGTTAAAGAATTGCTAGAGTTGTCACCGAGTTATACAAGGAAATGATATTAAATATTTTTTCCTTTTGAACATTCTCCAGAATTGTGTATCTAATCTAATTAATAATTAAAACAAAATTTATAAACTGCATAAAGTGCTGACATCGATTAATATAAGAAAATATTACTAAATATCTTTTTCTTTTGAAGAAATATACTCTAGAATTTTTTTCTAATTAATAATTGAATACTTTTTATGAATGGTATATTAGAACTATGACTGATTATATAAGGAAATAGTATTAATATTTTTTTCTTTTGAACATTCTCCGGATTTGTGTATCTACTTAATAATTGATTTTTTTAATGAATTGCATATTAGAGATGTCGCTCATTTATCTAAGAAATTAGTATTAAATACTTTTTTCTTTTGCAAAACCTCCAAAATTGTGTATCTACTTAATAATTAATTTTTTATATATTGCATATTAGAGCTGGCACTGATCTATATAAGGAAATACTATTAAGAATCTCTTTTAATTAGAGTTTTGTTGCTTATAGTTTTTAATATATTAATCATATGACCTACTACAAAATACCTTACAGACAATTCATTATAAACAAACCTACAATTAATTAGAAACTACAAAATCTGGTTGCAACCATTAACTATATTAGTGAAATATCGAGTATCAAAATGGGCTGGAGTTGTTAGATATGGCACGTTCCATATCGTCATAAATTAGACAGCCCCTTGAATTACTTATTCAGGATGAAAAGGTGCATACATTTTTAAGTGCTATTAATCTTTTCAATTACCATGTAATATAGATATTCGAGTTGTTTTGTATTTTCTTCAACTTATGCGTAGTTTTGTATTTTCTTCAACTTATGCATACATTTAATCCATTTTAATTACGATTTTGTTAGGGTCTACATAGATATTTATTATGGTTTCATTTACAATCTGAACTGGTGTTAGGCAATATAAATTTGTCATTGAAAATCTATTTTCCTTTATGATTTTATGTAAGAAATCTGCATATGTGATTGAATATATAAATAACTCAAGATTTTAATTTACAGACAAGTCTATTTGTATTTCTTTGCATATTCAATGAAATTTGCTGATTTCGTGAGTTTTTACTTTTATAGTTTGGTATTAAATATTATTTTCGTATGTTAGCTTGTACAACTTTTACGCTTAAAGCATAACAGAAAAGAATTTTTTCTTCTTGGCAGATTTTCAATTCAAATGGCTAAGCCATTAGTCAAAGAGTTATGATCAAATTTTGTCCATGCTGCTAAGATAAAAAAAAATATTTGGGTGTTGATGCATGTTTAGTAATACAATGTGTCATCCAGTTTATTATGACTATTAGCGATAGTTTACTTATGTTTATTGATGAATTAGTATGTTGTGGGTTTTTACAAACAAAATAATGCATAATCTTTATATAACATGACGTCCTACTAACTTAAATTTCTTTTGGAGATCAAATTTATGCAACTGTTGGACGGTTCGTTATACGTATCTTTAAAATAAATATACATGAAATGAGATTGTTTGTTACGAAGAATTTTGTAGTTGCACCAAACGATATGAAATTTAAGATCAAGCATAAATTGAAATTGATGTTTTCTCATAGGACGAATGTGGTTGAAATCAATGTTCTGCAGTTTAGTTTGAATATCATCAACTTTAAACTTTATGAGCATTTGATAAATCAACTTGATGTTCATAAGAATGAACTATTCGGTAATTGTTTCATCTTTCACTCTTTCTTCTACAAGGTGTTGATCCCACAAATGGCAGATGAAGCAGAATCGAAAATGAAGAAAATCAATCCTACTTTGCGTGATATAACGAATGGTCAGTTCCAAACAGGTAATCATTTTTCACTATAATTGTGCATATATAACTTACCTAAACTGATTATTGTTCATATATAATTCCCCAATCGAAATAGAAGAGGAGCTCTTTTAAGTATTGGTGTCAATGAAATGAGGATACAAAAAATGTGATAAGCTCAAACATGTTAGTTAATACAACTGCATTGACAACATAGCGACTATAAAATAGGGAAGGTTGATCCATAATTGCAAAGTGAATTTGCACTCATTGATATGTATTTTAAATGTGGATAATTGAAGGAAGCTGAAATTTATCTCATTAACTCCTTGAGAATAGTAACATACTGGCATTTAGTTAATTACTCATATATCTCGAATGCTTATGAGAACTGAGATTTATTTTTGCAGTATTTCATACGTTTTTAATTTTTTCTCACTTTTTTTCCCTATGCGTGTATATTCTAGACAATGAGCATACAATGATGAATCAAAGCTAAAGTATAGTATATTAAGTAATAAACTTAAAGTCCAAGACGTGCTAAAAATATACTAACATATTTAAGAAAATTGATCAAGGGCATGTAGAAGATGAAAATTAAAGAGATCATTAAACTGATGTTGCTCACAGGCTTCATATCAAGCAAATTGTATAACATCATTATTCATTATGAAACATTCATATCAAGCAAATTGTATAGTATCATTATTATTTATGGAATATCTATTAGGGCGGCAGAATAAAAGTTTTACTAGAGTCTCAAAATATATTTAATGTTTGTTTGTAAAGATGATATCAACACTAACAAATTAAAGTATACAGTAGATTGTTCTTTTTAATTCTCTGCGCATCGCGCTGGTACTAATACTAGTTTATAGTTTAAAATAGGGCCAAAGTGTAAGGGTTAAAAAAATACTCCTTCTGTTCCAGTTTATTTAAATCTATTTTCTTTGTGGTCCGTTCAAAAAAGAATGACTTCTTTCGTAACAATTTCCCTACTCCCTATATATAAAATTAAAAAAAAAGAAAAGAGAGAGAGAAGAAAATCCGTCATCCAAAATCTCGTGGAAAGGGGAAATTATTAAAATGAGAAGAATACTATTCTAAGCGGAAAAATAAAAAAGAGTAGTATTCTAATACTAGCAAACCACGCGTCAGCAATCTATTGACGGCGGCAGCAAATTACTAAATCAAGCATTTCATTGGAACACGTGGCACACAAGCGGAAACCCATTCCTTCCACAGCTCCCACTCACCAACCAAAACATCTTTCTTTCTTTGGCCTTTACATTGTACACTTTCCTTATATAGGCTATTCTATTTCAATCAGAAGACTTACCCATAAACGACGACTGCCAAAACCCTCATTTTTGTCTCCATCCCTACAAATACATTCACAACTAGTAGTAAGTTTTCTCTTTTCTCTTACATTTTTCTCCAAAAATAAAGTGGTCACATTCCCTCGGTTTTCTGATTACCAAACGCTAATTGCTTTTCCCTCCTCCTAAATCCGTACATTAGAGCTGTATACAAAATTTTGAATCAGTATAGTATTATTTTGTAGTAACTTTTTTGGTTTAAATTAAGTACTTATAATAGTAAATAAATACTTTTGCCATAGAACTTTTATACATATATTACTGCATCTGCTAGTACACACACTTCTATTCCTGTATGTGCTGGTATTGGTATATATTTATATGTGTTTCTCATACTGTGTGTATATGTAGAGAGAGAAAGAAATCGAGATGGGTAGAGGAAAGATAATGATAAGAAGGATCGACAATTCAACGAGCAGGCAAGTGACGTTCTCGAAGAGGAGGAATGGATTGTTGAAGAAGGCGAAGGAGCTAGCGATCCTCTGCGACGCGGAAGTCGGCGTCATCATCTTCTCCAGTACTAGCAAACTCTATGAATATTCAAGCACCAGGTCCTTTTCTCCATCTCGGAAGTTTAACTCTTTGTGTGTGTGTGTGTTCTGGAAGTTTGAATTTCAGAACCTTTAATTTCGTGTTTTGTTTCTGTAGATCGACAGGATTTTCCTGCTTAATCAGCTTTTTTACCTCATAAATCTTGGTTCTTGACCTAAATAATTTGGCACTATTATACTGTTTAATGTAGTGGTTGACTTTAGTGTGTGCTTATCATGTTTGTTATAAAAATTAATTAAAGCAGTCACTGAAGTTCAACTGAAACTACTAAATTAATTAAGATGAAGTACACATATAATTAATTCAAAATTTTGTGATTCACATTTTCAATTTGATGTTGTTTCATTGCACTTTTTCTGTTTGGTATTTGTAGCTTAATATCCAAAGACTATTTGGGATTTAGTTGTAGCTGATATATAATGTGCTAAGGATTGTCTCGTTTTTGCTGTTTTAATGATCTTTTGCCTTCAATATTTTAGTAGATAGCTTACCTCTTTTAATATTAAATGAGGTGAAGAACAATACTATAAACTCACAAGCAATGTGGAAATATGTAGATAGTAAAAACTTATTCGCACTAGGTGTTCGCACCACCTGAATGAATACTTGACACATGTCTTCACGTTATCACTGAATTATAGTTAATTAACACGTATTCTTACCTTCATTTATGCTTAGTCATTTGAGCCTGAATCGTGATAGCTAAAATTGCGATATTAAGGAAGAAAGTGATATACTTATTAGTGCTTTGATAGGGTACTAACGCAGCTAGTATTGAACAATCCTTGTGATTATTGAGGGCTTCATTCTCGAGACAATATAATCTCACAACTCTTTAGTTTGAGTTCTATCCGAAGGATTGGAAGTTTCATCCCTAACAATCTCATACTGGTTCGTCGATTGTGGCAAACCAACATAGTCAATTGTATTTCGAGCTATTTCCGTCCGTCTCCCTTTTTTTTTTTATTTTAAAATTACCTTAATACTAGTTCATTGATTGTGGCAAACCAACTTAAGTTTGACAGTCAATTGTATTCCGAGCTATCTCCCTCCCTGTCTCCCTTTTCTTTTTAATTACCATTTAGTGTTTAGAGCACTATTAATTATATTTGAGTAAAGCCTGAGACGCCTATATCGATACTTAAAAAACTAGAAAGATCTTCACACTTTCTTTCTATTTTACATATTTCGAGTCTTTCTTTTTGCTAATGAAAGACCATTTATTAGAGGAAAGAAAACTAGCCAGGTTTTATTACAAACATGAATTGGAGTTCCAAGAGTCAATTTGAAATTGTATAGTTGATTACAAGCAGTTGGG